CCTGGTTTGTCCTAGTCTGTCCTGGTCTGTCCTGTTCTGTCCTGTCCAGATCTCTCCTGTTCTGGTCCTTCCCGGTCTGTCCAGATCCGTCCTGGTCTGTCCCGTACTGTAGATGACATCTTCTCCTCGCTTCACTGCTGCTCTCCCTGCATCTTAATACATTTTTTAAAATCTTAATCAATTTTTCATTTCTTTCAGCATTTAAAAACCAGCTCGGCCTCAGTTTGACCTTGGAATGAGATTATTGGTCCAACTTTACGTCTCTATTGTCGTCGTCCCAGTCGTCTGATGTCTTTTTTATGAGAAGCCTTGTCTTATCCATCCGTAAACTCCGGTCAATTATCATTTCCTACATGTACGTCTGAGTCTGATCTTAGGGGCTGCAGTTTCCTCGGTTGAATCCCATCTGACCAATCAGCGAGCGGGGGAGGCGGGAGTTGTAGGGTGGTGTCAGTGACCTCAAGAGTTTGCTCCAAATTTGCCGGTTGTAGTTTGGCAATGGCTTCTTATCTTGTGCTGTGTGCTCCTCATTCCTACTGTACTGTAATTGGCGATGCAACACTGACATTTCCCCACTAAGGGACAAAAAAAGGATCTCCTAATCTTAACCTAGGTCCCATTACCACAACATGAGGAGATTCTGCCATTGCCACGGCAACGTAGTGAGAGTCATTTCTGGTCCATTTTTTTGGGTCCAGTTTGTACCAAAACTGTTCAATCGACCGTGAAACATGAACTATCATTTATTCCCCGTCTCCCAAACACGCTTCAGGAGCGGCGCGGCTAATTGTGGCTATAATGACTTTGGCAGGAAGCGTCCAGTCTCCCGTCATGTGACCATCCTGCCACGGCGAGGGAAGGGACGGGACGGGAAAGGGCCCGGCTTCTGATTGACAAAGCAGTAATTATCTCATGATGGGACTGGGGTGAGGGAGGGGGGGGGGCAACTGTGTGTGTGGTCAGAGCCGCTCCAATTACCCTTCTGCTCCCCCCCCCCCCCCCCCCCCCCTCGCACGCCGCTCTCTGTGCCCCCCCCCCAACTCACCGCACCATATGGACACCGGATCAGAAAGGGCCTCTATGCTTCCAGGCAGTCATGGGATAGGTTGCGTTCATGTGACATCACAACTTTGCCACTTAACTGAACTTTTAAAAGTCTATTGTTGTGTACTTGTAGATAGTAGTAATAGTTGTAATTTTAAAACTCGATCTATTTTTACTTTTATGACTTGTTTGCACCGTGAGCCAAAGCAAATTCCTAGTTTGTGACTTCCTGATTCTGAAAGAGAGCAACTGAAAAAAAACACACACCGTGGCATTGTTAGTTGAATGAGGTGGCCTAAATTAAAGACTATTTCAAACATCACAAAGACACATACATTTTCAGACATTTGTTGTGTTGTTCTGGCCCACATTTGGTCTAGGTTTTTCCAGTTTTGGTTCTGTTTTTAGTTCACTTTTGATCTGGTTTTAGGTCCATCCACGGTCCAGTTTTTGATTTTGTACGCATGCTTTACACCTATTTTTACTTTTATAATGACTTAATACTATAACTGGGAATATATATTATGTTCAGACCTAGCAAATTCTTGGTAAATTGGTAAAAAATTATTCTGATTTTGATTCTGAAAGGAAGCAGCTGAAAAATCGTTCTTGGTTATGATGGTAAGTGTTAGGAGTCAGACCTTGCTCTAGTCTTACTTTAGAGCATAGCCTGTTTATAAATGGACAATGCTAACAAGCTAGCTCAATGAAGCCCAATAGGGAAGTGCTCATGGACGAAGTTTTGTACTCAAATGAGGTCGCCTAAATTAAAGGCCATCTAAAAAATCCCAAAGAAGAGACAATACAGTCAATTCGGGCGTTCTGCTCTCCCAAAATTCCATCCACTGAGCGGCGCTGTGATCAAAAAATGACACCGTTTGTTGCCCAGTTCACTTCCGGTTGATTTCATACAATGGCAAATATGGCTCACGAAAACAAGCGATTGACAGTGCCTGAATTGCGTGAAAGGTTGAAGCGAAAGGGTATTTGCAGTGTGGGAAAACGAAAGGAGGAATTGTTGTTGCTAGTTCAACGAGCAGATGGTGTTTATGAAGATTTAGAAGAAGATGACAGCGAGCAGAGTGAACGAAAACGGCTGTGTGTGCGAGTGACAGATGGTAACAATGAGAATGAAGTTCAGCTAAGAGGGAAGAATGTGAATTGGACGGATGATTTGCGCGATATGCCACTAGTTAGAGACGGGAATGTATTTGCATACAGAAAATGACGAAAACACTCAACCATTTAGAGAAAATGCGCCGGGCAGAGAGAACCGGAAGTTGCGAAGGCAAGTGTTACCCATAATGCAACGCAAAATTCAGTCGCTCCCCCGCCCATCGGATGGAATTTTGGGAGAGCAGAACGCCCGAATTGGTTGGACATTTTTTGTGTTGTTTTGGTCCACATCTGGTCTATACGTGGTCCACATTTGGTCTATACTTGGCCCAAACCTGATCCATTTTTGGTCCCCATTTGGTCTATACTTGGCCCACACCTGGTCCAGTTTTGGTCCACAATTGGTCCATACTTGGCCCATACTTGGCCCAAACCTGGTCCAATTTTGGTCCACATTTGGTCTATACTTGGCCCACACCTGGTCCAGTTTTGGTCCACATTTGGTCTATATTTGGCTCTTACCTGGTCCAGTTTTGGTCCACATTTAGTCCATTCTTGGCCCAAACCTGGTCCATATTTGGTCTTTACTTGGCCCACACCTGGTCCACATTTGGTCTATACTTGGCCCACACCTGGTCCATATTTGGTCCCCGTTTGGTTTATACGTGGCCCACAACTGGTCCAGAATGTGGTCCACTTTTGGTTCACATTTGATCTATTCTTGGCCCACACCTGGTCCATTTTTGGTCCAAATTTGGTCCATACTTGGCCCAAACCTTGTCCAGTTTTGGTCCACATTTGGTCTATATGTGGCTCATACCTGGTCCAGTTTTGGTCCACATTTAGTCCATTCTTGGCATAAACCTGGTCCATATTTGGTCTTTACTTGGCCCACACCTGGTCCATATTTGGTCTCCATTTGGTTTATACTTGGCCCACAACTGGTCCAGAATGTGGTCCACTTTTGGTCCACATTTGGTCTATTCTTGGCCCACACCTGGTCCAGTTTTTGGTGAAGATTTTGGTCTAAAACTGGATTACAGAACAGTCTTGTTCCAGTTTTTTTTTCTTCCAAAATACTAAGCCTTACAAAACATTGCTTTACAGTCACAGTCAGACAACTGTTATTCAAATGAGGCGGCCTAAATAGTAAATTAGTGAGTAAATCAAGAAACACAAGAAGGGAAAAAACAGTATATTGTAAAAAATGAAGAGACAAAAATACCTCCATCTCTCTGGACGTGTTGTAAAAAGAGCAGTTCATAAAAAGGTGGTGATGGAAGGTCCAAATGGAAAAGCTCACATGTGATTGCATTTCTCTGGACCCTTGGGTTTTTCGGGGAGGATTGGACGACGCAGCTGCCCCAGCGCACACACCGCGGCGGGGCAGCGGAGGGTGAAGGGTGACCATCAGGATCAAACTGTTTCATGGCAATCGTCACTTTGGAACTGAGAATTTCAAAGTTAAGAGTTTGATTCCCGTCTCCAGAGAGTGAAAAAACAGCATATTCACATTAATAGAAATATCATAGAGAAAGAGACATGAGATCATAACGGGGTCTGAAAGAAGAAACCGAATCAGAAAAAAGTCACAACGGTGGAAATTATTAAAGAGAGGGACTGGACCCCTGTTTGGACTCTGAGGAGCACAGGGACTGGCCTCCTGCTGGGACTCTGAGGAGCACAGGGACTGGCCTCCTGCTGGGACTCTGAGGAGCACAGGGACTGGCCTCCTGCTGGGACTCTGAGGAGCACAGGGACTGTATAATTACTTGAATGCATTGTTTTCCTATCTTGTTTTGTTTTGCACTTGTAGTTGCCTTGTGCATGAACTGTGCAATACCAATAAACTTGCTTTTACCTTCGCTCACCTTCAACCTCACACGGACCGCAGCAGGAAGATGAAAGTTTGAGGATGTTGTTGAAGTGTCTTGCCTGAGGACACAACAACAGTTTGACACTTTTCGGCCGCAGCCGCCCCACTCTGGCTCCTGGTGTTCCCAGAGGTCTCCCATCACAGTACTAACCAGGCCTTTCCCTGCTTAGCTTCAGAGGTCTGACAGGATCTGGCTTTGGTGTATTGAAAGAGAGAAGCCAGACAAGAGAGAGGCAGATAGAGGAGATGGAGGAAGATACGAAAAACAAGCTAGAGCAGCAGGAGCCGATGGGAAACAAACACAACCTGCACTTTTGACTGGTTCTTTAACTTATGATTATTTTTAGACTGTTACCTCAATGTTATTATTGTGACCATGCAAGCTACTGTGACAACGCATTTTCCCTAGTGGATCAATAAAGTCTGTCTAAGTCTAAGACCTTTGTCGATGCATCAGGGTCAAAGGACAGAGGCGAAGCTCCGGGACCTTTAATAACATATATTTACATTTATAGACATTGGTCATCTGCAAAAAACCATGAGAACTACGTCAGAAATTGCTAAAAATTTTGCTAAATTATATTGTTCTGACTGAGCCTTAAAACGACAACAAATTAATATAAATAAAACCTTGAGCAAGCAATTATTACCTCAGATTTGATCATTTTTTTGCAGTGTGTTTTTCTATCACTAAACTATCAATACACGTTTTGTGTTTGAACTGTTGATTTTCTGATCTGTGTTGGCAAATTGACAGCTTTTTAAAGTCCTCCGAGAGAACTACTGTTGTGATTCAGGGCTGTGCAAATATAAATTGAATAAATATAATAATTGAACAAAAGAAACTAAACGGAAAAACAAACAAAAAGATTTCTTGTCATTGAAGTTTTCCCTGTAGGTGTAAAGCGCGCTGCTCATCTCCATGGCGATGACGGACACTCTGTTTCTATGGTGACAGTTCCCATTACATCAGCGGTGACCGAGCCACATCATCAATCTCAATGTCTCCCAGCATCCCATAATCCCTCACTGTCTGGTCGCCGCGGTGACAGGAGAAAATGAACCCTGTCAAAAGAAAGACAGGGGGATTTGGAGCGCCGCGCTGTGATTGGCTGACGGCATTTTGTTGTTTAAATGTCAGCGCGTGGATGCGGAGCTGGGGACAGGTTTGTTGTGGAGCCGTTGCAGACCGGGATAAGAAATGTCGATACGTTGAAGACGAGTTTGGGCCCGAGGACAGCGACGTCCGCGGTGTTTTGGAGTCGTCCGTCTCCCGGAAAAGAAGAGGAGGGCGCATGATTGGACTTTGAAAGTTTACTTTGAAAGATGTCGCACTCTTTTGCTCGTACTAGAGACACTTTGCTGGAGGAGTGTGGGGACTTAAACGCTACACTCGGCCCTCTCAGACTTTCTCTGTCAATTTTATGACTTTAGCTGGAGTCTGTTCATTGCTATTAACCCACTGTCCTTTTTCATGGAGCCTCATCAGACCTGCACCAAACAGTCTAAGTCCTGGTTCTACAGCCTCAGTCCTGGATCTACAGCCTGAGTCCTGGTTCTACAGCCTGAGTCCTGGTTATACAGCCTGAGTCCTGGTTCTACAGCCTGAGTCCTGGTTCTACAGCCTGAGTCCTGGTTCTACAGCCTGAGTCCTGGTTCTACAGCCAGAGTCCTGGTTCTACAGCCAGAGTCCTGGTTCTACAGCCAGAGTCCTGGTTCTACAGCCTGAGTCCTGGTTCTATAGTTTGAGTCCTGGTTCTACAGCCAGAGTCCTGGTTCTACAGCCAGAGTCCTGGTTCTACAGCCTGAGTCCTGGTTCTACAGCCTGAGTCCTGGATCTACAGCCTGAGTCCTGGGTCTACAGCCTCAGTCCTGGATCTACAGCCAGAGTCCTGGTTCTACAGCCTGAGTCCTGGTTCTACAGCCTGAGTCCTGGATCTACAGCCTGAGTCCTGGATCTACAGCCTGAGTCCTGGATCTACAGCCTGAGTCCTGGGTCTACAGCCTGAGTCCTGGGTCTACAGCCTGAGTCCTGGATCTACAGCCTGAGTCCTGGATCTACAGCCTGAGTCCTGGATCTACAGCCTGAGTCCTGGTTCTACAGCCTGAGTCCTGGGTCTACAGTCTGAGTGCAGGTTCTTCTCACTTTTCGCACTGTGTTTTGACTGGTTCCTCGCTGATGCAGGAGGGTGTGAGGACAGTAATGATCCAGGACATTAATGAACATTTGTGGACAGAGGTCACCTGTTTGTTATCATTGCTTTTCCTGTGATCGAACTGTTTGATTCTCTGATCTGCTTTAGGCAAATCTACAACTTTGTGAAGACGACTGCTGCTGGGATTAGGGCTGTACAAAAATATATTGTATAATGTGGCATCAAATGTTTTTGTGAATGTGAAATTCATTATTATTTTTTATTTAGTATTGACAAGACCATTTTTTGTGGCCCCTGAACTGTTTTTCAATAATCATTATTACAGTAACTTTCAGCATTGATTGTAATGGGTTACTATGGCCTGTTATACTTAATTCTAAAGCTTTTTCTTTCTCAGGAAACAACCATATAATTGAATCTAAAATGTTAAAGATGCAGTCAGTGATTTTTTACAGATGCATTTTTTTTTTTATATTGTGGGAAAACGCCCCTAAACCCTAAAAGTAGTCATTATCATGTGTTTTCTAATAGTAATGGAATTGACCAGATGTCTATAGTCTTCACAAATAAATACAAATATTTTGTAGTGGACCAATAAAAACGAACCATGCGTTTACCGCCTTCACCCTTTTCCTGTTTCTCGCGAGTGCACCTGAATCATCGGATTTTCTAAAACCTAAAATGGCCGAACAGAAAATTCAAATTTCGCGTTTGCCGCCCTCTCTCCCTGTTGTGACAAAGAAAAGAAAATGCTGGATGTTTGGTGGAGAGGGAGGGGAGGGGGGAGTGGTTTCCAGTTAGTGCTACGGCTAAGCTAACAACATCACTCACTGCACCTCTAATGTTATTCTTTTATATTTAAATATGAATCTTCAATTGTATCCTCTTTTGATATTCAGTACAACTGTGATTGAATCTGAACCTACTCGAAAATAAAATCCAAACTCCTGTTGAATAAAACTAATTTGTGATATAATAATAAGGGTTTTTATATAAGACTCCTGTTAGTGCCCAGAGTCAGAACTAAACATGGGGAGGCTGCTTTTCAGATTCATGCTGCTAAAATCTGGAACAATCTTCCTGAAGATGTGAGACAGGCCTCCTCTCTGACTATGTTTAAAACCAAGTTAAAGACTGTGCTGTTTAGCTGTGCATACAACTGAGGGATTTTATACTTTTATCTTTCTTTTTAATGTTCTGTGATTATTTATGATTTTAATGCTATCTTGTTCAGCACTTTGAGTTGCCTTGTGTATGAATTGTGCTATACAAATAAACTTGCCTTGCCTTGCCTATACTTTAAGCCCCAACCGGCTCTTATGATTTTAAACTTGGCTCGAAACACAGACACCCCTGGTCCAGAGTCAGACCATAGACTGTAAATATCAGGTCTAGACCAACACAACAAAACGACTGTGGTCCTGCATGTGCTCTCTCCTCTCACCCGGCCTCACCCCCAGACTGACTCTACCCTGGAGCTGGGGTGAGGAGGGGTGAGGAGGGCGAGGAGGGGGGAGGATGAAAGGTGCTTATTAACTCCAATCCTCCTCAGATGAGACTTTGGATCTTTCTGCTCTGGGAAAAACCGACTGTAATCCTCCCAAACCTGTCAGCTCTGGTGTAGGATCCAGGCCGTGATCCAGGCCGTGATCCAGACCATGATCCAGGCTCATGTGGACTGATCTATGGCCTCACGGTCTAATGTACTGTATTTGAATGAAGTAACTTGACTTTATCTCTATAGGATCCATCTGACCTCAGTGCCGAGGTCGGGAACAGAACTTTCAAACCACAAATGAAGTGTGAAACTAAATCCAGGTAATTTCAGTTCTCGGCTCCAAAACTGTTTCACATGTGTGTGTTTTTGTATATATGTTTTCTTTCTTTTTACAGTGTGTATTCATGGACAGCAGGAATACATACACATACTCTCTCTAACTGTCTCTCTCTGTCTGTCTGTCTCGCTCTCTCTCTCTCTGTCTCTCTCTCTCTCTCTCTCTGTCTGCCTATCTGTGTGTCTCTCTGCCTCTATATGTCTCTCTCTCTGTCTCTTTCTGTCTCTCTCTGTCTCTCTGTCTTTCTCTCTCTCTCTCTCCGTATCTCTCTCTGTCTCTCTTTCTCTGTGTCTCTCTCTCTCCGTATCTCTCTGTCCCTCTCTCTCTCTCTGTCTGTATCTCTCTGTCTCTCTTTCTCTGTGTCTCTCTGTGTCTCTCTCTCTCTCTGTCTCTCTTTCTCTGTGTCTGTCTCTCTGTGTCTCTCTCTCTGTGTCTCTTTCTCTGTCTCTCTTTCTCTGTGTCTCTCTTTCTCTGTCTCTCTCTCTGTCTCTCTCTCTGTGTCTCTCTCTCTGTGTCTCTCTCTTTCTCTGTCTCTCTGTCTCTTTGTCTGCTCAGCTTTTTTGAACCATAAATTCACTAAACATAATTGAAATAGACCTTTAAATACTTTTTCTTTGAAGTGAAACCATCAGTGTGATCTAAAACACATCCCTATCTCTCTTAGTATATATTTTAGACTGTAACCACGGCGATAAACCAGAGTCCAATAGTTTGCCGTGTCTCCATCCAGAAGTAGAAATAGTCATACGTTATGCGGTTTCTTAATTTCCCTAGAGAGTGGTAAATTTGGTAAAAACACACAAAAAATGGGAAAACATAACCGTTGAAATAGCAGCAGTGCAGTGTGAGGTGACGGACAGCTCCATGGGATCCTCTCGGGCTCGTGCTGGTCATGTTTGGAGATTAAACGGACACTGGTGATTATGAGCCGTGGAATAATTAAGAGAAACTTCAAAGACCGAGCAGAGACACTAATTGGACGATGTGGACGTACACAGAGCAGGGAGGAGGGGGTGGGGGGTGGACGCACACACACGGACACATACACACATACACACACACGGACACACACACAGACAGACAGACACAGACAGACAGACAGACAGACAGACAGAGATAGGAAGACACCGGAAGACAGAGAGAGACACATACAGAGAGACAGACAAAGACACACACACAAACAAGACAAGAGACACACACACACACACACACACACACACACAGACAGACAAGACAAGACAGAGACACACACGACAAGACAGACAGAGACACACACACACACACAAGACGAGACACACACACACACACACAGACAAGACAGAGACACACACACACACAAGACAAGAGAGAAACACACACACAAGACAAGACACACACACACACACAAGACAAGAGAGACACACACACACATACAGACACACACAAAAGACAAGACAGACACATTACATACAGACAGACATAGGAAGACACAGAAGAGAGACATAAATACACACAGAAACACACGCACACACACATACAGAGCTATGAGAGAGACAGAGACACTCACACTGAGCTTTAAAATGAGGTATGACATGTCTGTATTGATTCACGTTTGACAGAGCTGAAGTTGGCTGAATGACAAATATTTACCATCTCACATCAGCGTCATATTTGTGATTTTGTGGCACGATCAAAAACACATGGATACTAAAGCCTGAGGTTGGCTGCGGCGGAAGTTGGCTGGTTGACACTTGTGCAAATGATCTCAGAGAATAATGTGGGGCGGCGGCAGAGGGACGCATACACTGCAAAAAATGATCAAATATGAGGCGATAAATGCTTGAACTAAGGTGTTTTTATCCTAATCTTAGCATATTCTGACCGTGGGACAAAACCATTTAGTAATTTTTCAAAAACAGCTGCTTTATTTTCCATTTCATTTCATTTTGCTCATTGTCCCATTGGCAAATCATGTCAGAATGTGATTGAATCAAGACACATTTTGCCAAATTTGAGCTATTTCTAACTAATTTTCCAACATTTTTTGCCCACGGCTTCAGTTTGGACATGCTTAATCCAGTGGCAAAGGAGACATGGGTCAAATGCAGAGGACAAAGTTCCCTAGTGGGGTAATAAAGTAGAGACACACACACACTCAGAACGGGCCCTTTCTGAGTTGAGTTTGCATGTTCTCCCTGTGCTTGCATAGGTTTCCTCCTGGTACTCCGGTTTCCCCTACCACTAAAAACATGCTCACTAGGTTAAATCCTCCAGCTCTGGTCCTGACCAAGCCGAGCATCAACATCTGGAGATGGGTTCCCGGGCTC